CACATATTTCGGACTGTTAAAGAAAACAATACGGGGAAAGAGGGCAGGGTCGAGCTTATTTTAATCAAATTATTTATGCATATGTATAGCTACTGTCGCTCTTCACTGCATAAAAGATCGCATAGATGGTCATTGTTAAGGCCGGTTCTCACATGCAGCGAAGCGCTGATGTAACGCTGCTCACGTGCCGTCAGGTACTTATCGTATGCCATGAGCAACAGTTTTGACGGTGCGATACAAAGCTGGTGAACGCTCCCGTCGGCACATGCTTAGCACGAGGTCAGCGCTATGCTTGTTCCGCTCCGCTGCATATGTGAACAGGCCTTTAGAAACTCGTTGTCAGGAGGCACTACTCGTCACATGCTCGGTGGCTCGAAAGTTCAAAGCTATGTCTTTTCGACCTAAATAACTGTGCCATTGGTAAAAAATAATCAATAAATAAACATAACAATAAATGCAAAAATAAAAAGCTGGAGAGAAAAAAAACTATTAAGAACCCGCCGGAAGTGTTGTATTCTTGCATATTCAGAGGCCCAGAACTATGAAACAAGTTTCTCCTACCAAAATGTGTACAGGCCGAAAGAATCACGTCCCAAAAGCGTAAAATGAGAAAAAATTTTTTTTTTATGACGCGTTGAATTTGAACAATTTTAGAAATCTTCCCCCAGGAGTTAATTTATTCCTCAACGTGAAAAAAAAACAATAAATACATTATTTTGTATTCTGCAGATGGTAATGATATGTACTGTCTCTGGTGTTTATTTAAATGCGATACCCCAAACAATGTAGGCGAAAAAAATGACCAAGTTTAGGGCATAATTGTCCGTAGGTACATGTTTGGATATTTATTCGAAACTCGTCTTGAAGAATAATAATCATATCTTGAGACTACACTGACCTAGGCTATATATAGACCATTCTTAAAAAGTTTAACATCTCTACCATAAATAGCTTCGGCTATAGCGCGCTTCAAATATGGCACAAACGACAATTGTCAAAAACCCTCGCTCCTTCGGGAATCTATTTTTTTAAAACCAAGCATGCCAGATGATTGAAATAAACGGCATTGTCTTTCGCAAGGAATGCGTCACCCCATGTAAAATTGAGAAAAAAAAATTACGAATGTATTTTACTGCTTGAATCCAAATGAAACCGCCCGCCGGTCTTTCGAAGTTCGACAAGCTTCGAACTTTTACCCTAAAAGTTCGAAGTTCGTCGAACTTTTTACTTTTCAGGAACCGAGAGTTCGACAATTTTCGAATTCTTTAGATTAATAAGTTCGAAAGTTCGTAAATTATCGAATTTCTTAGCCTAGGAAGTTCGAAAGTCCGAAAAGCTTAGAACTTTTTAGTGCAAGAAGTTCGAAAGTTCGAAAATCATCGAATTTTTTAGTCTATCAAGTTCGAAAGTTTGACAAGCATAGAATTTTGCAGCGTAATAAATTCGAAAAGCGTCAAACTTCTTAGTTTAATAAGTTCGAAAATACGACTTCCGTCGAATTTCTCGATGTGGAAAGTTCGAAGATTCGAAATCTTTCGAACCTTTCGAACCGCTTGATTCGATCATCGAAACTTCGATTCGAAAAAAGTTTGCGGCATCCCTACTTGATACTTTGAAAACTTAATTTTTCTGGGCTGAATATTTTGATAATTTTGCAGAGTACTGGTTTTGGAGATATTTAGCAGGCACAATATTTTGTGATTAAGAGTGGTATTGCATGTATTTATTACCATGAGGAGGTTTATTTGTGCTGTCCATTATTCACAATTTTTTCCTAATCTTGCAATTTACAAAAATTTAATTATTTACAGTGCATATGTTTGCACGTATTCATTGCAGTTATCATTGTGGCTTGCATTGAAGAAAAATTGTAACAGACAACACTCTTGTAATATAGTAAGCTTTCTGTCTTGCCTAAACACACAAGTCCTTTCTCAAGCAGTTACCGGTGCTTAGTTGACCCTAGTTGCTGCTAGCATTGATGTCAGTGGTGCCAGTGACAAGATTCAGAACTCTCACTGCAGTGCCCATCGATTCAAAGGGGTTAGCTTAAGACCAAGTCTGAATTGCGGAGTAGGGCATAAGCCAGGCCAAGTTACCAGGCGGTGCGTGCTTCATTTGTGATATCATTTAGCCAACTAGCTGCAAGCCCATTTTGGTTCCTGCCTGTCCATATATGTTGTCTCCTGCTCAGTGTTATGAAATGGTAAAATTTGCCACCACATTTTAGAAATCTGGTGCAATTTTTAAGCCTTTGATATCCTGGTTAGTGGACCACTACACCAGACAACCTGGTGAAATCTGGGGGAAAATGCCTCGTGACCCCAAACAACTAAAAGCACTGCTGGTGCTACATTAAAGAGACACTGACATCCCAAAAAATGTATTTATTTTTTACCAGGCAATTTATTATGGTGTTAGAAGACTGCCCAATCAATAGTTTGCTATAGCATCTCATATATTTTTAATAAAGTAAAAAAAAAAAAAAAACAATTGCTCGAAACCAAAACTGGTCTGGGAAGGAAGAAGAAATACAGAGGAGAAAGTTACTCAAAATCACGTAGCTGTGCAACCTTTTTTTTTTAGTTAACGTATTTGCAACATTTTAGAAGTCACAAAAAATGGGTATCATATTTTCTGTCCATTTTTAGTATTAAGTGTGTGCCTTCGATGACCCACGACTTTCATTATCCTTGGTGGCTGTGTCTAAACCATAGAAAACTGCACGTGACCACAGAGAAGAGAGTGAGCGCGACTCAAATTGGGCCGGTTCTCGATCGGCGGTTTTGGGCGGAAAGAGAACTAATTTCGAGCCGCAAATCGTGTTCTCATGTACAAATAAAAATCTTGGCGAGCTTAAATACCCTGTCACTGTCCCTTTAGTGTAGCCTGTGCTTGGTGGCTTGCACCGCTTGATTGAAGCAGAGCTGTAGAGCCACACATTGAATAAACCAGATCGACAAAAATAGTTAGAAAAGCAACCAGCAAGGGAGCACAGATAATGGGCATGCCAGCCGGTGGATGGCTCTTCGACTTGCCCGATGATGGCAATATTTTCTATTGTGCTTTCGTTCTTCATTATTTTATCAAAACATTGTTTCTTCTCTCACAACCAAATCTTGTGAAAACTGATTTGCACAATGCATGAACTGTGTACACTTCTCTCGAGGTGATGTTGCAGCGAGCGTGGTGTTATTCGCGTTCTGCGAGTTTGTTTTGCTTTCACAGTAGCTTTGGGCCGTTGAGCATGTTGAGCACTGTGCATATGTCCCTTCACTCAAAATGCCAGGGGGGAGTGCAGCCTTGAAGCAGAGCGCAAAGTTCCATTTTCCTTCGTCACATTGACGGATCCTTGGAGTGGACAGTACCAAATATCCAGCTGGCGTGCATATGCGGTTTAAAATCACGTCATTTCGGATTTAGATGTGCAAGTTCTCGTACAATGTTATAGACCATTCAACGTGGGTAATAGAAGAAAGGGAAGTGCTGCCTCGAACCGGAGTGCTAAGGCATATTTTTTTCTGGCACATAGTCTGCTCCGTGGAGTGAGCTGTACCAATTATCCAGCTGAAGTGCAAACACAGCTTTAAAATAGTGTAATTTCCAAAGTTTCAAATGCAGATTGTGGATCTGGATGGGCAAGTTATAGTTCAAAGTTATACCCGATAAAGTGAATAATCAGGCCCAATTGAGCTCTCACCTGCCGTGAAAACAAAAAATAAAGTAAGAACAATTCTGTAAACAGTTAGGTGACCTGTCCTTTCCGGCAAAAAGTAAGTTGGGTTTCAGTAATTTTTTATTGGTAAGATTCATACTGACTTAGGTCCTCAGCTGCTATGAGTGGAGAGTCTAGATTGCAAGAAAGAAACCAAACTTACCAATAGACTTTTTGCAAAAATCCCAAAACGGCGCACGCAAAGTCCTGCTCCTCCTTGCCACCACACACCCATCACAAGAGGCTGAAGAGAGTGAGAGGGTACCGGAGTTGCTTCCCTGCCCTGGCCGGCTCGCCATTGCTTCCAATGTCACCTTTCTTGTCTGCTAAAACCGGTTATACCTAGTGTTCCTGGCATTCCTTTCGCTGCCACAGACTTTGCAAAAAGTCTATTGAGAAGCAACAACCCTGAAAATTTTTGTTAACAAAAACAAAATCTGCACAGAATTTGGTGCTTGCTAAGCATTGGATATGAAGACTTTAGAGTGCTTCCATTATTGCAGATGTTCGTAGTAGTGTATTTGTAACCAAGTTAACTTCTTTGTGATATTTACGCATAGTTGGTACTTTCGAAGCAGCTACCGTAATATACTGTCCGCCCATTCTGCAATAAGTGCCCACCCCTCAATTTTGTAACATTCAAATAATACACAAAGGACATATCTTTATATATCGTTAACCTAAAGAGTGCTCATCTCCCTGTTTTAGATGATTATCTCCAAATATTGAAAGGGCACTTGCCCTGGATTTTACGGTAATTGGTATGCAACTTCAATTCGTCGCTGAAAACCTAACGCCGCGGGTATGCATCCCTGATCATTCGGCAGCATCGGGTATGCATCCCTGATCATTCGGCAGCATGTTTTATGCAAAAGTTGTTTATTTAGTTATTTATAAAAAAACAAATAAAAGTAAAGCAGCCAACTTTGACATGATGGCACTTTATTTACTAGCAAATTCCTAGCACCTAGGGTGGGAACACACAATTAAAAGCATTTCCTAACCCTTAACCCCTAAATAAGAAAAACTAAGTTTGCATGAAGTTTCAACGAAACCAAGCAAGGTTTTTTGAAACTCGCGACTGTACTATCAGGGTTGTATTTTCTGCTGACGCAAGACGCGGTGGTTGAGGGCAGTACTGTCGGTGGGCTCCATTGCTACTGAAGTAACCTTACGAAGATAGGGTAGGAGATTATTTATTGAAATATAACACTAGAGCACCGTAGATTGAACCTGGAGTAGCCATAAATGTTCTGCAACTCAGACCACTTCACAGTGGCAGCAGTAAGCTAGGGTTAGGTGTTCAGTACAGCCCACCAGAACTGCCCAAACGTCAAGAATGGCTGGTTTATTGTCTGCTATCAAAATCGGGCATGTTCCCTTTTCCTCTTTTTACCCCACCGAATCCGTTCAAATGCCCGAATGTATGTAGGCAGTGTTGCAGTTGAACTAAAAGGCACTGCCCAGAGAACCCTTAGTGGTCTATTGAGATGGTAGAACCTCGTAATCAGGGCATAGACCTTCTAGACTACAGAATATAGATCGGTTCAAAGAAAAGATACCATGATAGCATTCTTTCATGTTCTAGAGGTGATATTAGTGAACTATTGGTTGCTTTGAAAGCGAAGGAAGCAAAAAGCATGCAAGTTGTCAGTAGCTGGTACTGCGAAGTGGGGATGCCTGCTGAAAGAAATTGTGGGTGCCTGAACAATCAAGTAGTCTTCAACTATTGAGAAAAGTTTCATGGCACAGCAGCTGCAGTACTGAAACCTGCAGCACCGAAAAAAAAAAAAAAATCTCTTCATCCCCTTGGATGAAAATTGGGCCACGATGCAATTAACCCAACTGCAAAGCGAAATCCTCCGCGAGATGCCATAAATGAGATGGCACACCCTGCTCCAACAAAACTTAAATTATTTTTGTGAAATTTTATGCGTAATGAATTTTTTTGTATATTGTGTCAAGCAAGAAACAGTTGTTCAGTAAATTTGTGTGAACAATAAACTTTAAAAAAAATAGTGTCATGCAACAAAGTCAAGATACCTGAATTTAAAATATTTGTTGGTTTGAATAGACTTAACACTGCTGCATATTGCACCATATGCAGTGGTGCAGCACCTTTTGCAGTAGTCAAAAGTCCGAAGCAAGAGACACTTTTGGGGCAGAAGCATATACTCTTCATTCTTATTCATTCCACTGCAAACACTGTGTTGAAATTCTTGTGTTAGCCTGTCCAACTAAAAGGCAGAGCTTCTTTGCATTCACACTTTTGTGCAACCACTTCTTAGCATTCATTGCAAAGTATAATTAAATCCAAAGGCAGTGTAATTTTCCACATCAACGACATCTTATATGCAGAGAGTTAGGATGGCACAAAGTCAGCATGTTGACAACAAATAAACCCCTAAAACCCAGCTTAACATGTTAATATAATCCCAAGCTTTAATTCAATTGTTAAACTTTAGTCTAAAAAAAATTAAACTCTATGGACTACATCCAGGAAGTTAAGGGACCATTTAGAGGTGTTAAGCATAAAGATTAAACATACAGCACAGCTATATCTAATCAAGGTGATTCATTAACCCTTAACAATAGTAATCCCTGGAGAAGGGGAACAAGGGTGACAAAGGACAAACACAAATCTCCAAACGCAGCTGGGTGACTGGTGCGTTAGTGAAAAACTCCGCCTGTTCTTAGTATCAAACCAGGCACCTCTCCCTTTCCAGTAGAGAGCTCTACCAACTGAGCTAACCTGGAGTTAGACGTCAGTTGAGCAAACGGGCTTTAACAGCTGTCGCCACTCTAACCCCAACAAGGGTGAATGGCCTGCATTTTTTAGGTTATGATGATAATGCAATTAATGCAAAGGTGCAAGCGAGCTGGACAAGAGTAGTAATAATCCCTGGAGAAGGGGAACAAGGGGGACAAAGGACAAACACAAATCTCCAAAACAGCTAGGCGACTGATGCAAGATTGAAAAAATCCACCTGGTCCTGCATGTAATTAATGCAATTAATTCTTGTTTAGCTCACTTGCACCTTTGCATTAATTGCATTATTATCATAACCTAAGAAATGCAGGCTGTTCACTCTTGTTGGTGTTAGACTAGTGGCAGCTGTCAAAACCCGCTCGCTCTACTGACGTCTAACTCCAGGTTAGCCTGATTTGTAGAGCGCTCCACTGGAGATGGAGAGGTTCCTAGTTTGATACCAGGACCAGGTGGAATTTTAGAGCGCAGCTCTTAGGGCCCGTTTCCGGCTTAAGCGGCGTCGCCGTCGCCGTCGGCGTAACCGCGCGGTGCATCATGGGAAATATCCCATAATGCACCGCGCGAGCCCCCCACCGGGGTCACGTGACTTCGTGGGGAGGCACGTGACCCCCCCCGAGGTCACGTGACCCCCCGAAGTCACGTGACTCCCCTGAGGTCACGTGACCCCCTCCTCGAGGTCACGTGGCTCCCCTGAGGTCACGTGACCCCCTCCTCGAGGTCACGTGACTCCCCTGAGGTCACGTGACCCCCTCCTCGAGGTCACGTGACCCCCCGAGGTCACGTGACCCCCCGAGGTCACGTGACCCCCGCCGATGTCGCGTGACCCCCCGATGACGTCATCGACACTGATGACGTCACCGGCATCCACATCGTCATCGTCATCATCAGTGATGACGATGACGATGCGGATGCCGGTGACGTCATAAGTGATGATGACGATGACGATGTGGATGCTGGTGACGTCATCAGTGATGATGACGATGACGATGTGGATGCCGGTGACGTCATCAGTGATGATGACATCAATGATGATGACGTCATCAGTGACGATGACGATGTGGATGCCGGTGACATCATCAGTGATGATGACGATGTGGATGCCGGTGACGTCATCAGTGATGACGTCATCAGTGATGATGACGATGACGATGCGGATGCCGGTGACGTCATCAGTGATGATGACGATGTGGATGCCGGTGACGTCATCAGTGATGATGACGATGACGATGTGGATGCCGGTGACGTCATCGGTGATGATGACGATGACGATGTGGATGCCGGTGACGTTACCGACATCCGCATCGTCATCGTCACTGATGACGAAATCAGTGACGTCATTGATGTCGTCACCGGCATCCGCATCGTCATCATCACTGATGACGTCGTCAGCGACGTCACTGATGACGTCGTCAGCGACGTCACTGATGACGTCACCGACATTCGCATCGTCATCGTCATCATCACTGGTGAAGTCATCAGTGACGTCACTAATGACGTCATCAGTGACGTCAGTGATGACATCATCGGCATTGGGGGTCAGGTGACCCCCCAAGGTCACGTAACCCCCCCCTGGTTAGTCTAACCCCCCCCCCAGCGCCCTTCCCTCCTCCTCCTCAAGAGCTGCGCTCCAATTCGGCGTTACAGGGAGTTGTAAGCGGCTTTCACTTTTTTTGCTGTGCGCCAGTCACCTAGCTGTGTTTGGAGATTTGTGTTTGTCCTTTGTCCCCCCTATTTCCCCTTCTCCAGGGATTACTATTGTTATTCTTCTCAAGCTCGCTTGCCCCTATGCATTAATTGCATTATCAACATTAACCCTTTCCTGATAACTGAGTTTGAACTATATCAATCTTGAAATCTTGGAAAAATACAAAAAAAAAAAAAAACATCATTACAATTGAGGATGCGTGCAATTCGTCAGAATGTTGCAGTCTGTCAAGGAAACACCGTAGTTTGTAGTTTATATGTGTAAATTTTACTGCCACATCTGTTACAACTTTAGCATTCACAAAGTTAATGTTCCACCTCGAAGGAGCGATTTTCCCCCTCAACACGAGGCTGCACTGCATCAAAGCGACATAAACAGAATTGCGATGTCAACTCCGTAGGTATTGCTTCTCTGCAGTGCACCAAAGTGGAATAAGGAGTGCACTCAACAGAGCTAATTAAACCATTCAAACAAATCATGAACAATGAGAAATATTATTAAACTCCCTAGTACCATGTCATGTTCGACACAAAGATCAAATAAAATCGTACACTCGAAGGGATAATCGAAAAATTTGAAAATTTGTGCAAGCTTGCCGTAACAATATGGCACTAGTGGTGCTTGAACCATTTTCTGTATTGATAAAATGCAATGAGCTTTCGGAAGAATGCTGGTGCAAATTCCTTACGTTTTGGTGAAATGTAGCAGGGCAAGTACTTTGGCACAGTTTGGTGCAGCAATCACATCATTGCTTATAACTGACGTTTTGAAGAAAATAATTCCTAAAGGAATTTTTAGCAAAACATTTTCCGCATTGCTTAGTATATGGCTGCAACCTACACAAAATGAGTTTTGGTCAAAGTAAAGTAAGTTGCAGTGGAGAGTTAAGATATATTCTGTATAATAAAGCTCAACTTCTTTTTGGCCGTCTTTTACATGGATTTTAGTGTAACAACCACTTTCCAGTTTGGCAACGCTGCTCTTGCTTTAATGGATGCACACCGTATAATCTGTCGTGCTAGACAGTTGTCGACTTGTCACGTGACCACTTCTGTTGGGTCCACAGCTGCTGGACCTGTTCATGACAGAAGACTGGTCCACTTACTTCCACGACTACGGCAAGGAGAGCAGCCGTTACCTGCGCGTCAACGCCAGCCTTGCCTTGTTGCTGCTGGAGAAAGTGCGCGAGGCCGACAAAAAGAAGAACATCTTCTCGTCGCTCAAGCAGAAGGAGCGGGATAAGAAGAAGCTGCAGGAAACGGTGCTCAGGCAGTTGCGTCAACTGACTGCCTAGTTAGTCGCGGGACAATGTTGTACCAGTGGCAGGAAGGAACAAGTTTTCAACGTGTTTTATTGATCGCTTTGGCAAAACTACTACCATCGCTGAACCATCTTTGTATACACTACCAAAAAACAGTAACTGTAAAGCGAAAAATGTATGCTACCGCTGGGCAGAATTCCCTAACATGGAATAGGTGGGGGGCCGCTCGTGAGGTACCCCCCGAAAAATTGCGCGTAACGAGCGAGAAAGACTGCTGCTGAAGGATGCCAGCCGACAGGCTGTGCTCCCGCGAGCTTGGCGAGCACGCGGGCGGCAAGCAACTGGCACGCTTGCATGGGCTTGCCGTGGAGGGCAGAAAGAGGTCTTTGGTGGCGACTAGAGGCGGCACGCCACAGTCTGGCCGTGGCACTATCAGCTGTCCGGAAGCAGCGGCGACTGGTCGCCCGGCCGCTCGGGCGCTCCCGGCCGCTCGGGTGCTCCGCTCCGGAGCATATGGTCCAGCTCGAGGTCCGTGCGTGTCGACGGCCGGTCGAGGCGCGACGCCTTTAGGGCCGCCAGATACACTGACCGGTGCACTCGCATGTAGATGGTGTCGGCTACGGCTTGCACACTGTAGTCTGGCACAAAGGGCTCATCTGGCAGTGGCCAGCCTGTGACGTCTCCTGCTGCCAGGCCTTGTGGCGACTCGTCCGTGGCGAGCGGGCCCTGCGTGCGGCCCACACAAGGCTCCTCGGGGGCTGGCGGCGTGTCCAGTGCGCGGTAGATGGCCGGCACCCCAAAGGACGAGAAAGGCCCCGATTCGAAGAGCAGCTTCTCGAGCCCCACCGTGACGCTGACCCGGCCCTCAAGGATGAGCACAAAGTAGTCTGCTGCCTGGCCGGCCACGTAGATAACGGGGTCGTCATGCGAGTGCACCTTGATGCTGATGAAGATGTTCTGCAGCATCAGCCTCCGCAAAACCGACTCGGAGATGAGGCCCTTCTTGAAAGGCTCTACGGCTGCGCATGAGGGGGGACAAAGCTTGTGCAATCGGAAGGGACCGCACAGACTCCATGCAACCGGCCCATTTGGCTTGAGGCATTACATGCACACATGGGGGGGTACTTTCTACATGTAGCCCACCCTACTGCCATTTTCTGTCCGGTGATTAATTGCTTCTTATTCAAACGGATGCCCACCAATAGCAACTACGATACAGATCAGTACTCTGCCACCTGAAAGGTTTAATGGAATGCACGAAAGTTCATTCAACCTGAAAAGCGTGACTATAAACAGAAATTATATTAATGTAATAAATTATAATCATATACCTTACGTGCAAACAAGTCTTTGTTGTTGTTTTTTTAGTACGCCACAAAGTAGTGCACCTTGAGATACACTGCATGACACTGTTAGTGCAAACATATCATCGGCACTTTTTCACATTTTACTTTTAAAGGATAATATCAGGAATTAAACTTTACCGCTTGGCTAGTGCCCCAAATGAGCACTTTCCACCACTCTAGTAGTTTTGATGACAGACCTTCGATACCAAGAGAAAAAATCTAGCGACGGCTTGTTTTCACTAACGGTGTCATGCAGTGCAAACCCACACACAATGCAAGTGACAACACTACTTGGCCTTCGCTATGAATGCAGTTCCCACAATGCCTTGATTTGGCAAATAATGAACGCGACTGGGACCTGAACTTCATGTTCCAGCCCTAGTTTAAAGACCGGCACGCGTGCCAAAGGAGCACAATGGTATTGTCTGAGAGTATGTACATCATATAAAGGGCACCACTGGACTAAGTCCACACTATGAGTTTTCTGAAAGACTTGTGACAATTGCACTAGCATGATCATTATGCACGGGAAGGAGTTATAATAATGATGATGCCCATGTGGTTACTGCAGAATGCAAAGTGCTCTAGCAATTCAGACAGATGTCTATTACAATCTGCATTATGGTTTAGTTGGCACCCTATTGTGTCGGTTTTAAAAACTGCTCAATTGTTGAGGGGCACTTTTTCAGTTTTGACAGATCAATAGTAACCTCTCTGAAATGTATGCAAACTGAGTGATATTGGTATAGTGATGTACAGCACTTCAACTATTGTGGTTGATTTTGCTATATACAACACTTTAGAACATAAAAGTATTTTGAGAAGTTCACATTCTGCAGCACATCCTATGTACACATTATTTCTGCACAAGCTTAAATGAAATCTGATTTCAAACATTGACCTCTTTTGAATGTCTTATCTGCACACTTTTTTCTTGGTGCAAACTAAGCAATATTTTGGTGGTATTCTGCCGCCTGCACTAAACACATTAGAAAAGATTTGGAGAAGTGGACAGAGTTCATTGCCACACTGAATTGAAGGCACATTATTTTTCCTACAACATTTTATATTTGAGCATGTGTGTGATGAGAAAGTTTTATCTGCTTATAAATGGTGCATGGCAGGCAACACTATACCCTGTTGTAGGTTAAGGAGAGCAGGACAAACTCCTCCTGCAACACAGAGCCGTATATGTAAAGAGTTTGGCCATTCGTTGGGAAGTATAGGAGACAAATGAGGAGGCGCCATTGGCCGAAAGCGGGCTGGGCGTGTTCCAGGGCGTCTTCAGAAATTCGAATGTGGCCAACCAGAAGCCGGAAATAATACCCTGGCGGTGGTCGCTAGAAACAAACTTGATAAGTGCATCAGAGCAACTCTCGGTGACTAAAAATATGGTGCACGTGACGTTTCAATCACTATCATCCAAAATCATGGTGGAAGAGTGCGACTAGCGGAACGATTGACATAATTCGTTCGCCGAGGGCCGGGAATCTGCCGTTCAAGCGATCACACACTGTCCGAGCAAAACAGAGTTGAGCGGCGCATTCATTTCTTACAACTTTCTGCATGATCATATGATCGAAACATCATGTTCACCTATTTTCAACCACAAAGGGTTACTACACTTCACTCTTGCACATTTATTAAAACCATATACCTTTGATCAAAAAAGTTTTTTTGCTCCCACCGCTAGGGGATTCGTTTAGGCTTCCGGTTGGCCAAGAGAGCATGCCAAGCCCATTTCTGCGTCTGGTGCACGCCCTGGCTCTGCCCGCGCCTCCCATTGACCAAACTCTCTGTATACACGGCTCTGCCGCAATGCCCTCCACTCTTGCCACTTGAGCAGAGCAAGTGCTTGAGAGGAAGCTAGAGGACTCGGGGCCAGCGTTCACTGGAAAGTCTACTCCTGAAGTTTAAAAGTACAAGTCGGCAGTGCAAACTTAAGATAAGAAGAAAACAATTAGTCCCTTTTTTTTTTTCTCCAAGGTTTTGCTGTAAGTATGCATGAAGAATGGAAATCTTTCAGGAAAACTTCTGTGAGACGCTTTTAGTTAAAACAGTGTGATCTTAAGATATGTACAGGATTGGGCACTACAAGCTTCCCAGGGGTCGGAGACCATATCTAATTAAATAATATTTATGGGGTACCAACTGTTGCCACCCAGAAAAAGTCATAGCGCTTGTATGAACTCTGGTCCCAGGAGCCTTTATTTCATAGTGTCAAAGAATGTGCATGTCTCAAACTATTTTACTTACTTTTATTGCAGTATTACGCCGAAATATTCAGGGTAAGAACAAATGTTACACAAGTTACTATGTATCAAGCAACACCATTTTAATGCTACAAAGGTTGATTGCAACCACTGCATCTGCTGCTCATTCAGAGCAGGTAGGCAAACATAAATGGCCAGTCATTTGATGGGATGCCACTTTTAATTTCGGTTCTTTAGTTTTGGTTACTTCACGATGCAAGTCACAAGTTAACTGCTTCAACCTCCAAGGCTAAGGCAGCTTTTCTAACAGCTATGAAAGCCAGAGGGGGAGATAAGGGAAGTGAGGAGATGGATGCCACTTCCAAATCTGTGTTAACATGTTACTCACAAATTCTGCACCAAGCTTAACTACTACATAACCTGCACTTTGTTTCAGTTGGGTTTGTACTTTACCTCCGGTACCCCACAGAAATGAAGCAAAAGTAATTCTTAATTATTTTTAACACAAGGATAAAACTTTAGGCAGGAAGGGCTTGCTTTGGATGTACCTGCAGTTGAAGATCTCGAGTTACTTGTTTGTAAGGCTTGTTTAAGAAGTAACTCCAGATTAAGGTCCAGAGTTGCAAAGGTGTTATGTGGTGCCACATTAGCTTACCTCAGGAGTCTAGTGTGGAGTTAATCCTAAGGCTTGCGATAACTAGCCTGTGTGGTGGACATACAGCTACAAGGGGCAGCGCTTTACTTTGCTTCACTGGAAATGTGAGTCGCAGAAGCTACAACAGCAAGCTCTGGGCATTCCTGCCCAGCAGTGCAAGAATCATTCAGGGCAACATACTTGGGCTTGTAGCTTCGCTCACACATCAAGTGAAACAAACTATAGACGCATTGTGATAATTGCTTATGGTGGAGGAGAAATGTGACTGCATGGCGGCACAAGGAACATAGTGAAGCATACGAGCTCAGCTTAGCAGAGAGGGATCGGTAACACGGCCACACTCTTTGTGCCTTTAGATGGTGTAAAAAAAAATAAATAAATGCTAGGGAACAGATTTTCTGTTTTTCAAGTTTTACCGGAAAATTAAAAAGGGTGAACTTGCCTACTTAAAAAGAAAGCAAAAAAACACTAACCAACACCTTGGTGGGATGACTAAACTGGTCTTCTGCTTCCTTCGTTGTACCATTATATCACTGGGTGCGATCGTTTTAGATTCATCCGTGTCATTCCGTCATTTTGTTTTGATTTTATATTTCTACATTAAAGGGTCCAATTTTTGTGGGAAGTGCACAGGTACTACGTTAGGAACAAGTAAAAGGGATAAACCAAAATATTGTTTATGTGCATGTTACAGATGTGTAATATGGGGCACTTTTCTTCATCTTATGTTGTCTTTGAAGAGGACATATTCAAAAGTATGCAGATAAATGAACCATACTTGATCGAATGGAACAAAGGTTATGAAGCTGCCGAAAGACAAAATCTTTTGGGGAGCCGGGATTCAAACTCTGGGTCTCCCAATATCCAGTTGGGTATGTATGTAGTAGTGAGCACACCCAACCGGATATTGGGAGATCCAGAGTTTGAATCCTGGCTCCCCTGAAGATTTTGTCTTGTGGCAGCTTCGTAATGTTTGTTCCATTCAATCAAATACACTTCATTCATCTGCATATTTTGAATAGTACAGACGTGTAACACACACATAAACTACTTTGAATGTCAAAAATAGGGTTTCACATTTTCTGAGTTTAATGTTTGTGAAATTCGGAGGGTGCTTTTCTGAGTTTATTTTTGCCAAAAATATGGGGCTTATTAAAATGTAGTTTTACTAGATTCCCAATTCTCCGGAATTTGAAATTCAACTTTGCCAAGTTTTCAATTTTCAAAAATTTTAAATAAAAATATACGATATCCAAACAAACATTCACTGAATGATAATTCTTTAGCTGAATTTGGCTTCGGCATCCTTGTCATTGGAAATACTAGTAACTGTCCCACAACAAAACTTGCAAACAAGTGTCGCTTGAATGAATGTCAATACTTTAAAACCACAAACACCTCTACATACTTCTCAAGTATTTCTGAAATTGCATCTACCTTCAATTCAATATGAAACAGATAGTGGGGAGGTACGACGTGGCGGTCATCTTTTCGGTGCCTAGTTCGCAACTTTACCCCAGAGTGGCTGACAGAGGGAGGAAAGGTAACAAGTGTTCTATAAAACACAAAAATAAGTGTGTTGACTATGCAGTAGGAGTGGTGCACCGTATCCCTTTGAGCTGCGGTCGAATATACATCGGCCGAATGGGCCGATGCGTCAACGCCTGTGCGTGCAAACATGCCCTGTCACTGCGCTCAACAACGGGAGGACGTCTGCCTTTACACTGTGCCACTTGCATGTGTCAGCCGAATTTCCAAGATACTATGATTGTGGGGAAAGGAGTGACAAAACTGCGAGAGAACTGCTGGAAGCGTACTTGATAGGAAAGGAGGGCGATAATTGTGTTAGCCAGACTTTGGTGTATTTACATAAAAAAGAAATAGCTTATCTTGAGCGTTGCTGCGATAACGGTGTGGTTGCTTACTTGGGTGTGTTCTTCTCATTAAGCATTCAGTTGAAGTTCAGCGCTCGTCTTGCACATTTCTCCCTTTGTCTTTTTTTGCATGCTGCTACCAGTTGTAATCATGAACCAACTCGCCTGCATTGCCACATTGATCCACTACAAGTTTTATTGTAAAGACAAATAAATTCTACACGGCTCAGCAACTTGTAGGAGCAAGTTCAGCCACATTCCTGCATTACTCAAAACTGGCAAAAAACATGTGCTTTTTAAACTAGGAACTCCCAACAAAGCATGCATACTTATTTTTTTCTTTCTGTTGCACATGAAGGGGGAGGGCATCATTAATTGTACCATAAAAATTAATACCACCACCCACATTCTCCCTGCACCATTAATAATGTTCAGACCTTGAGGGTCAATTACCATAATTCTAAGAATTGGAAAAAAAAAAAAAAAAAATTGACAGTGCTTTTTAATGTCCTATGGAATGCAGAATTTAAGAAGCTATCCTTTAAATTTGTTTAGAAGGGATTAAACAGTTTTTGGGGTGTGAAGAACCTATAATTTGTATCAATTTCACTGCTAAATCTAGTGGCAAAACTAAATTCTTGAATAAGTCATATGATGTCAGTTTCTGTTAAATTTAGTGGGTAAATTGAATCGGTGTTTAGGACATGTGACGTGAATTTTTCTGCTAAATTCAAGTGACGAAATTGAATTGGTCTCCAGGTCACATGAAGTCAATATCCCCGCTAAATTTAGTGGGCAAACTGATTGGCTGTTGAGGTCTTGTGATGTCACTTTCCCTGTGAAATTTTAGCGTGGAGACTGAATGGGTGTATAGGTCACGTGACACCAATTATCCCACTAAATTTACCAAGGAAATGCACGGACACAAAATTTTGGGATTGGGGACTCTGCTAAAAAGCGTTCCATGCTTTATAAAACTATACTTATCTGTGTCTAGATGCAATCATTGGGCATTTTGTCAAACTTCCTCTTTTCGGGCTATTTAATATACCTAGTGGAGCATAGACTTTTGTGACCACCTGTTTACAGCTTGCCTTACTGGCATGAGTAGCTTAGTCATCCAAGGTGTGCACAGTGTGCAGTGGTACTCACAAGTGGCCAGGTATTGGAAGGTGGCAAGAGCCAACTGCGGTGAAATGATGTGCTTCCCTTGGCGGCCATAGCCAAGCTTCGCAAAATCCGAGAAGTCTTGGCGTACCTGAGCCTCCTTGCGTTTTAACTTTCTCCGGTTATCCACTGAAAAATTATAAGGTTTCTTTGGTACACAGGCAAAGGTGCACAATTGCCGCCACTTACTCAGGATGTCGGTTTCATCAATGATTTCGGACTGGAGGATTTCTTCAATGACGTCCTCTAGGGTGACCAGACCAGTCAGCTCATAGAAAGGGTCCCCGTCACCTTCAGTGTTGACACGCCGCACAAAGGCCATGTGGGACTGACCTGCAGGGGAAGAGCAGTTAACAACTGGCACAAACTGGCACACTCAAGGTTACCTTTCTTGAATTCGTTGAGCAAGTGGTCAAGGGTTTCGTCCTCAAAGACGAATGTGACTGGGTGGTTGTAGAATTCGCACAGGGTGCGCAGAGGAATCTCGTCCTCGGGGTCAACGAAGGCCAAATCTTTAATGTTAAGGAGCCCCACTATATTATTGCGGTCACCTTCAAACACCGGGATGCGAGTGTAGCCTTGACCAATAATCTGGGAGACTGTTTCAAAGTCTAGCACAGCCGTGACGGGCAACATGAAGACATCGTCCATGCGAGTCATTGCCATGTTGGCAGTCTTTTTCTTAAGCTCCAACGCACCACTGATGATGTTGACCTCTTCATTCTCGAGCTTGTTGTACTCCTTGGTGAGCCTAATGTACTCGATGAGCTTCTCGCGATCATACACGTGGCCAATCTCCTCGCCCAGGACCCAGTCGAGGATCTTGGAGATGGGCCAGGACAGAGGGAAGGTGAGCACCATGAACACCTTGGTGACGAAGAGGGTGCGTGCGCCGATCTGGAGGCCGTGGCGTGAGCAGATGGCTTGTGGAATGATCTCGCCAAAAATGACGATGCTGATGGTGGCCCCGAGGACAGCAATCAGACCGGATGTCAGGTCGTCTAGCAGGATGGTGAGGGTGCTGTTGACAAGCACGTTGCCCAGCAGCAGGGAGCAGAGCAGGTAGTTGCCGTGGTTGCGCAGGGGTGCAATCACCTTGGCCCACTTGCGCTCACTGGGCGTGCCGCATGACTCAATGACACGCAGTTCTGTCTTGTCCAGCGCCATCAGGCCCAGGTTGAGGCCGCTGAAGAGGCCCGAGAGGACGAGCAGACCTGCGAGCACGATGGCCTGCACCCAGACTGGCATGAGGCGTCCCTGGGTCACTAGCGTCACCCAGGGCTCGTCCCCCTGGTGCACCCACTTGGGGTCCTCACTGTCGGGCGCTTTGGTGCATACATAGTATTGCACATTAGGGCCCGGGAGGCTCACGCGCACCGACACCTTGCCGCCGAACACATGGCCCGCATGTACCACAGCCACCGTGGGTACCTGGTCGCAGCTGTCGCCTCGGGAGGCCGCCTCGTGCGTGAACGCGAACATGCTCGACATGGTCAGGCCGTTGCCGAACATCTGCAATTCCACCTCGGTGGCCGCGGGGATCTGAGTCAGCCCGGACTCCAGGGTGGACACGCGGTCCCCGTACGCCCGCAGGCCCAGCACCTGCCCGGGCTCGTCGCTCCTGCGGACGCGGGCGCGCCATTAGTACGACCAGGGCTCGCCAAGTCGGCGCGGGCGAGGTCTCCCCGAGGAACCCGCCGCACATGCCTGCCAGCGATCAGCGGGCCCGTGCGCGGACGGAACCGCGGGCTCCAGGCCCCACCACAGACACGCGAGGGGTGCGCGCCGGAAAGCGAAACAAACGTGCACTTACGTTGTTTTGGACAGGTTGCGCCTGGGGACACTGGCGTTCCGGTCGGCCGAGCGCTTGGCAGAGCCCAGGTTGCGACGCGGCCTCTGGACGACCACGTCCCGCTGCATGGGGGCGTACATGAGCCGCAGCGAGCTACCCTGGTGCTTCCAGAGCCTCTGGTTGCGGATGCACAGGTAGAGCGAGTCCTGCGCGGGCTGTGCGGGAAGGACGCCTCGTGCGACAACATCTCCGCCACTGTCCAGCTCGAGCAGGAACTGGCTGGCCACGAAGTAGTCGCTTCGACACACCTGGCCGCTTTCCAGGTTCTCGCTAGTGAACGCGAGCTCTGTCCGGTTGGGTCGCAAGCCCGTGCCTCGTAGGCGCACGGCCACTCGCGAGTTGGGAAACACTTGCGGCACACACGCGCTGTCTGCTGCCCACTGAGTGCAAATGGCTTCGATGCCGTGCACAAACGCCGAGTCTTCGCGATCCGCGCGCGGCTCGGCTATGTACAGGCCGTAGCAGGGACTGCAAAGCCACAGGACTAAGAATCTATGAAGCCCATTTCTAGCAGACGCCATATTACGATTGCACACCATTGCAGCACAATGCAGAGGCGCCGGGTGTCGCCACCATCGGTAGCACTGCCCGCTGCCCGCGTCCAACGGTCCACCGATCCTCGCACGGCCAGCACGGCGTTTGAGCGGTGTGAGCGTGCGACTCGCGAACATCGGCTGCGCCGGCTGCGCCACACGAGCCCGGCAAGGAGCTCGAGTAACGCACGTGAGACATGCAGGACGACGAGCGATGTGAAGCGCCGGGGAGCGGAGGCTCCCACGCCCAATACTGCTGGCGGATTGGCGTTCCCTCTTGTCCTCCTTTCCCACGCGTGCGTACAGTGTGAACACACTGGGTCACCTTACCCTTTCGGCCGCCTTGAGTGTGAGAGGGTCGTAGGGATCGTCTTCCTTCGCCCCAGGACCGACCTTTTCCAATCCGTATGCTGTTTTGATGGGAACCTGCACACCGTAAACACTGTTTATCTAACAATGGCTAGGAGACACCTGTAGAACTGCTGGAAGGTGTCATTCTGTCTAAAACTGTAAACGTACCATAAGACAGGGGAGGCATCAACTGAAGCTAAAGTTGTTTTCTGTGGACGCCACAAATTGGTTTAGTTGGGCCGCCTTCTATCTCTTGTATAATCTATTTTTCATGAAACACTATTTCCCCTGGCAGTGCTGGGCTCATAAAGCGTATTGTAAACATAAGCATAGTTTATTTCCAATCTTCAAACGAGTTTTGCACTATGCATCATGGCCACACGGCCACACCCTGTACTTGCACTGGTCTCAGCCCAGGTAGACATCTCTTGCTCCGCAACTGACCTTCCACATCTGCACAGCACAATTTTAAATTAAATTTGTTGAAAATTGTGCATCATATGGCTATGACATTTTAAAAACTGCTAAACAATTCCTTCCACTAGCTTAGGTTGTTTGTTGTAGAACGTACTCGACACGAGTATTTAAGATAAGATACTAAATCCCCACTTCATAACATATTTAGAGTTCTCAAGTTACTTTTGAAGTGAAGTATCGAAACAATGTTTTTCTCGCTGCAAAAATAAACTATGCACTGCGGAACACAGCCTCTGCCGGAATCTGTCGATAACAGTTAGGATCGGATGCCGACGTTGCAAGACGTATTCAATAAAAAATTATATATTTTTTTTTATTAAAAAAAGGCATATTTTTGGTAGTGCACATTCGTCGTCTCCATGTGTTCGTGACAGGATGAAAATAAATAAATAAATCGCGATTTTTTTTAAAAAGTTAAATAAATCAGATTTATTTGATTTAAATCACTGTATCTCGAAAAGAGTGATTATCACTATGTATTTTTAAAACGGCAGATTGATTGATCAATCCATTCAACTGAAAACAATTTGGAAGAAAAAATTACTGTAGAATGAAACTTTTAAGTGCATTTAATAAACAACTTTTTATTGATCATGTATACCTGCCATAATTGTGCCCACTCCCCTCTCTAATGCCTTTGGCCCTGAGGGTATATGAAATAAATAAATAAGTAAATAAATACTAGATAACAAAAGCAGATTATTTATTTACTTAGTGAAAAAGTTGTATTTACTTTTTCTATTATTCCTTTTCTTGTTCTCATTTCTTTCACGTTTTGATTTGCTTGCAATAGGACATTATGAAACTAAAAATGTCACATAGGAAAAAAAAAAAAGGGGGGGATTTACGTTCTGATTTGCTCAGAAGAGTATAGTTACAAAAAAAAAAAAAAGTGCCCATTGAAACCATCAAATGATAGAAAAGCAGTAGATACAAAGTGTTTTGGTGACTATTCCTCCGGGAAAGGTTTGGTTTAAATCATCATAGTAAAACCAGTGTAATTTAAAGGGACACTAACCCCCCCTTCCCCCCCCCCCCCCCCCCCCCAAGTTTTGTTTATTTTTTGTCAGGCGATTCAATATGGTGTCAGAAGACTACCCAATCAATATTTTGCAACAGTGTCACGTAAAAACGCAACTTCTCGAAACCAAAACTTGACTGGGTTGGAAGAAGAAATATAGAGGAGGAGAAAGATACTGAAAGTGGCGTGGATGTGCAACTCCCCCCCCCCCCCCCCCCCCCCCCCCTTTTTTTTTCTTCTTTCAACCAACATATTTACTGTTTTTTAAAAGCCAAGAAAAATGGGTATACTATTTTTTTCCCATTTCTAGTATTGAGTGTGCCTTCGATGACCCACGACTTCGATTGTCTTTGGTGGTTGTCTAAACCAAAGAAAACAGCACGTGACCACGGAGAAGAGAGTGAGCGCGACTAAAACTGGCCAATTCTTGATCGGTGGTTTTCGGGCGGAAAGAAAACGAATTTAGAGCCGCCAATTGTGCTCTGGGTAGTTGGGCTCTCATATGTCATGTACAAATAAAAACCTCGGCGAGCATAAATACAATGTGAGGGACCCTTTAATATTTAAATTGCAATTTAAATTCTTGATCTAAATTCTTGATTTAAATTCTTGATTTTTATTTGCCACCCTGCTTCTCTGGCTCCGTTTGCCACCATTTTCTCTGACAATTTTTGAACATTGCTTATAACTTCTCAACCAGGAATGGTATGTATGCATCCTGAAACTTTGGCATCTTATCCAAACTGCTAGTACTACAACCGGGCAGAGACTGAGCGTTTGGTGACGCAGTTTCTCTTTGCTATGAGAATAACGCGGTTCAGATCTCTCTCAAACACCCCATACTTCAAAATGCACTTTAATTACTTAATCATGTCACTGAAAATTATATCCTGTGGTGATGTTCCTAAATCATATATTTTTTATTGTGTTCCAGGCACATGCTGACCCTGAATTGCTGTAGTTGCTTTGAGTTCACTTTCAAGAAACTTGGAATATGCAAGAGAGTGTTAGAGGTTATAGGTGAGGTGGGAATCGAAAGAGTTCCTGCAAGAAAGAGGGCTGATCTATTGTAAGCATAGCATCTTTTTTTTTTGGCAGGTCTGCACCCATTAACTGTTTTGCAAATAAGTTTGTATAGACACACTTAACAAATGTGCATAGTCCTACTCCTACCTAAACTTTAAAAAGTGCAAAGGGGCACTCTGAGAGGCATAGCTGTATTTCTTAGGGTTGTCATCTTTATTTTGTCCTCATACCAAGACGTAGAAGTGCATTCGGAGAGGCCTTTAACTTTGGAAGGAATTAATTGTGTGAGTTTGTTGATTAAGCAGTGTTTTGCACAAAATATACGTTAGAATGGTGAAACAAACACTGTCAGCAGCAGGATCGAAAACAGAAGTATGGAAACCCGAGTCTCTGGGTATCATCTCATTTTCCTGCTCATTAACAGGGAGTACACAACAGGTTTTTTGAAAGTTCAACAAAAATGTCCATAGTGCGACTGTTTTTTTGTGCTGTTGCCATGACCTTGCGTTCGGTTTGTGTGTCAGCATTTCTTGCATAGGTGTATGACAATCCCTGTACCCAGAAATCATTCAGATGAACCTCTTCAAAGGTTGAAAATGTATTTGAGACAATGAGTTTATAATAATATGGAATGTAATTAAAACTGAGTATAGGATACTCATTCAAGTATATCTGCAAAATACTGAAATAGCAGCAAAGGTATCTTAAATACATATCTTGAGTAAAGTATCTGACATCAATACAAGTCTGGCTGCTACCAATCCTGTCAAGCCCTTTTCCACAATTTATTAAATGATGCCAATAGATTGGCTACGCTATATTCAACTTGTTCCTAATTTCCTTGAAAGCTAGCTCAGGGAAAAGAATCAGAATTAGTAGGAAGTTGTAACAGCAGTGCCGATGGTTCACAAGTTTTTAAAGAGTTCCACGTCTGCGATTGGTTTAGTGGCGATCTCGGCAATTTTTTGCTTGGCTGGCTTCACATGCAACGTGATAAGAATCTAGGTCAATCATTTCTTGCAAACCATATCAAAAGTGCACATTCTCACAGATACACCCTGTAGACAAGGCAATGATGGGTTTCAGTAATTTAAACAATATTTTACTTCAGTTTTGCATGTAATTACACCAAAATGCACGAACCTGTTACAACACATAAACCGGTGCAAGCTGGTGAACGAGCAACCAAACATTAATTGTTCATAAACTAAAACTCAATTAAAGACATTTTCATATAGCAAGAATAGAAAGAGCACCTGTTGAAGCCCTTGCCTAGTAATGCTCGTTAATTCCCGGGTGTGCTGACCAGCAACTAGTTCGTCCCGTTTACAAATAGCACATACAAATCTATGCATTCAAACATGAGCATTTCCTGGTCTGTTGTATTCATGGGACTTGCAGCCAAGGACAAAAATAAGATAAATAGGACACTGCACCATCTGATGTGTTTAAAAAAATCTCAATACACTATCTGATAAAAAAAAAAAAAAGTAAAGTTCAATTTATTAACCCATTGCCTTTTGGAGTTTGGGCAACCTACAACATTTGTACATAAAATCCGCCAATACAATACTGTACACCAATGCAAGCATACATGTATAAACTGCATTACTATGAATGCAAGATGAACACTTCCAGACATATTCGCTCATATAAGCTAAGCAACAAACATCACTCTCAGTCATTTATGTTAAGCTTACATATTCCAACAGAACCCTAATGATGGCCGTATCTCACAGCACAAGCAAACTGCTGGCAAATGCCAACTAAACATGCACATTAACAGTGCTGCTCTATGTGTATATGATATCACAGATATGGTTGACAGTGCAAAACAAAAGCAACCAGTCAAAATGCCAGCAATAACTCCCAATACCCCTTTTTGGCACAACTTGGTAATCAAAACAGATGATCAGTTTCTGAAGGCAGTATACTCATGATCTGAACGGGCAAACAATGACTTTGTAGGTATTATCCTGCAATGCATACAAGACAAACATGGTACGTTTGGAATCAAACACGAGGTCATACACCCTGTCTGCAAGCATGGTAAGTTGCTTCTTATGCCGGGGGTGCCTCTCAATCACGACCGCTACACTTGTTTCAAAACTGCGAGCGTCAGCCTCCACATTAAGTAGAGCAGCTGCTGACCGTAGGACATCTCCACTTAGCTCCACTGCGATAATGTCCAGTGCGGCAGTTCTCTGGAGGAATCCTTGCGTTACTGCAGTCAATTGGGTCACTATCTGAGATTCAAGCCTACGTCGAGTACTTGCAGCCATCTTCTCTACCACACTGAAGATGATCCTGAGTGTGGGACTGTTACCGGAAGCATCCTGCTTTGTAGGTTCTGTTTGGGGTGGTTTAGCAAAAACCTCACATAGCTCAGAAAGTGACAGCTTTCTTTCACTGAAATGGTCTTTGTCAAAGCTGCGTAGTCTGGCATAGCCTTGCTCCGAGTCTCTCAGAAGAGCCAAGTGTGGTATCTTGTGCTCCCTGCAGAAGGATGAAGCTTCGTCGGTGCCCTCCTGTGGAGACACTAGTGCTGGAATGTCCATGGCCCACAACCGTTCTAGAAGCACAAGCTGCTGGTGCCGCAACGCAGGCTGTGCATCACCGGCACTGCCTAAGACACACTCGGCAAGGCATGGTGCATCACCTTCTTCGGCTAGAGCCTGCACAATTTTCTCTATTGCAAAGCTGATGCCGACAGCCACAAAGTTTGCTGTGGCTCCAGCCACAGCAAAAGATGACACCAGTTTGTCATAACGCCCCCCAACAGCCAGCACGTCCCGACCTTGGCGGCGTGTCTTCTTACGAGACTGGCAGACAACTTCAAAGACAATGCCAGAGTAAAGATGCTCATCACAGACAAGGCAGGGAACTATGCTCATTGGCAAATGAAAAGCAAAGACAGAGCAGAGTTCTATGAGCCCTTCGAGCTCATGCAGAGCCTGTTTGGCTGATGCAGCTGCGGGGGTTTTCTGGCGTACCACGAACCGGTACATGGAGGACACCTTTTGCAAGCAATCTTCTACCTCACAGAACTGGGCAAGAAGGGCCACTGCTTGGTCTCCAAGACTTAGAGAGTCCAACTCCTGCTGAAGTTGAGTCTTTGAAGAGCACTGTGCACCTCGGAGGGCAGCATACACCCGAGGCCAATTATCTTCCGAAACAGAGCAATACATCAGCAGTGACTGAAGAAGTCCAGTATGGCCCAAGCGCACACTGTAGCCTCGTGACTGCAACTCGGAAAACTCGGTTACAACTTCGTTGGCCAGATGCAGCACTTCAGCACAGTTGGCAAGAGCACTTTGCTGGTTGTTTGACACAATGTCAAATGCACACTCATGCAGCTCTCTCGGGTGGCAGCCAAACACTTTCCGAGAACGATACACCTTCTCAATGGCATAGCGTCTCAGAGGGCATGCATCATTGCACCGAGCAACATAGCGTGCAAATGGGACCCTCATGTCGTGAGGCAAACTGATAATAAGACCGCCATGATCCATGAAGTAGACCCAACTATCATCTTCCTCGGGATTCTTTGGCAACAGAGTTGGGATGGCCAGGGGCGCAGCACCATGTCTGCATAGGATGCGCTCAAGAGCGGCCCTTACACGCCTAAACAGCAGAGCTGACTGCAGCAGCGGATGACCCTTTGGCATATCCACATCATAGGTGTAGTCCTGCACAGGTGTGGTCTCCTGCTGAAATAGGGCATTGACCAAGTGCTTATACGCTTTACTCTGAGGGTTGGAAACAGTGTGGCGCAAGACTTCGGTCACCTTGGTTTCTTGCAGTTGTGGAGGCGGCAGCTGAGGAGATGCCAGCAGTTCCCCCGAACTGGGCCGTTGTGCAGGGTCATGCTGCAGGAGCCAACGAATGAGGCTCACTTGCTGAGCACTCAGCTGCTCTAGTGCTTGATTGGACAGAGTGATGCTGGGTTGTCGCAGGTTAGCAAGCAACTTGACCCGTTCCATGGTTGTACTAGGAACAGGGTAGCTCATTTCAAAGAGAATGATGCCCAAACTGTAGAGATCCACCTTCTGACTGTATACTATCCGGCCACCTGTGGGTGGGGCAAACAGCTCTGGAGCTGTGTACAGGGTGGTGCCAACACGGCCAGTGAGACTGCCAGGGGTCACCTGATCAGTATGCTCGTGTGTCTCCGTCACTTCTGCTCGTGATAAAAGTGCCGTTGTGGCAAGACCAAAATCGCCGATCTTAACATGGTCAGAAGAGTCCAGGAAGATGTTGACTGGTTTCAAGTCTCTATGTATCATTCCTTGTTGGTGGATGTGTGCCAGTCCCTCAATGATTTCTCTGAAGAGACGCCACATTCTGCTGGGGTCTCGGTGAAGCCCACCGTCAATGGCAGTGCGAAGGGTGCTCTTTTCACAGAATTCCATTTGGATGAACATGAACTGAAAGTGACGGGCTTGATGGGCTACTGTCGGCTCCTCCGACTGTTCAGCCTCCACCTGGCCACTACCCTCAAAAACAACATTGTCACTGGAAGAGGAGCGTCCAAAAGGAAATTCAAACACATTGTCTGAAGAGCTAGACTCTTCTGCAGCTTGTGGTTGGATACTCCACTCACAAGAGTTGCCTTTGTTTGACTCAACACTGACACCTGATGATGTTGTAGTGCTGGGCTCTTGCATTGTTACTTCAATCCAGGAGTTGTAGTAGCGAACAACATTCTCATGGTTAAGTCTTGAGAGCAGCTTTACTTCTCGCATTATTTTCCGGTTAAGTGTTTTGCTTGAAGGATTGAGCAGGATGCGTTTAATTGCATAAATACGACGATCAAGTTGGTTGCGCACTTTGAAAACTTCACCGAAGCCACCTCTGCCAAGGCAGCGAAGAACCTCAAATTCTCCTTGGAGCCGTGAGTGGCCCACAGAGCTCAACGGACGTGCATCTGGCTCGTCGGGACCCTCGTCGTCTAAGGCTTCATTTTCTATCATGGGCCCACTCTGCACCAGGAATGGGTGGGTCAGGAGCTGTTCACATGACCAGCGATCTGGCTCGTGGCTTGCAAGGCAGCGCTCTAGGAAATCCCTCGTGTCAAGAGACAAATTTGGAGGAATGTCTGTACTTGTTGCAGGTTCCCCCTGAAGCAGAGAAAGAAGGATTTTTCCCAGCTGAAAGATGTCTCCCTTCTTCTTTGCTTTAGCCATACCATCACTGGTCTTTGCAAAGCATAGGTCCATTATCTTCTTGTGAATACTGAAATCAGCCACTTTCACTACACCGAAGTTGTCTACAAAAATGCTAGATTCTTTGAGATCCTTGTGGACAACAGAGTTCTGGTGTAAGAACTGCAGTGCATGCACTATGCCTGTGACATAGTTTCGCAATAGGGTAGTGTCCATGGGAATGCCATGAGTCGTGTAGGTGCTCAGAGAACTGCCTTTGACAAACTCCTGGAGCAGATAGAGCACACGCTTCTGAGGGACATACATGCAGCCTAAGTAATGGACGAGGTTGCCATGCTTTAGTTTGGTAAGTGCCTGCAACTCCTGCTCGATGGCTGCCACATGCTGATCAGATTTTAGCGACCACTCCACAATGCATACTAGCTCGCCGGTGATCAAGTCCAGACCCCCAAAGGTGACATTGCCATCTTCGCTGTGACCGAGGCAGCTGCCCTTGTGCACCGGGTGCTCTCCTGCTTTTGACACGAAGTTGAGTATTTCAGGTTTGTGCATGCAGTGATTCTTCTCTCTGCCATCTGCACTTCTGGAGTGTGTACGCCGCTTCCTTGCTTCCACCTTCATCTCCTGCTGATGGCGGCGAATCTCCAACTCAAAAGCTTCTCTCTGCTTTTCTTCCTCTTGACGCTGACGATTCAGCTGCTGCTGGTGAACCCTCGCTTTTTCTTTTTCCTGCCTTTCCCTGTTTTTGAGCATTTCGTCATAGAATGAACCAAGTTGAGGTGTATTGTGTTGGTGGAGAAATCTCTGCACATGCTGGGCCAGATCTAAGATCATGACTTCTCCAATGAGGTGCCTTGTCAACTCCTGCAACTCGCTGCGCAGACCTGCCAGAGCCTGGTTCGAGATTCCTTTCTGGTTGCACACGTCCACACGCGGTGCTTCGTTGGGATACTGGTGGGTGCACGTCACGTGCAGATCCACTTGAACGTGCACCTCTTTTAAAGGAGTCATGCTTTCTTGGGGCCGCAGTGTGAGCAACACTTCGGGGGGCCGCCACAGCTTCCACTTGTCGCGCTTGCGCATGTCTTTGATGTCATCTAAGAAGATTGCCTGCAGTACCTTGAGTTCGTTTTCTTGTCTCTCTTTGACGTCTTCGTCTTCCATATCAGCTCATCAATAGTAGGAACACACCGTCAGAAGTGCCACGTCTGCAGGTACTCGAGCTTCTAGAATCTCGATAGTCAGTTGTTTCACGCATGCTGGTTGACATCTCAGATACACAAGGATAACGTGTATATGAAACAACGTCCAAACGTCAGCCACTACTACTGCTACTACTTCGCCACATAACACAAGACGCGCAAAGGTACGGTTGGTACGGTCGTCCGGTACAGTGCTGTTCACAAAAATATACGAAAGCTGAAGCGCTGAGGGCGCTGCATGCTGCTTTTACATAAAGGCTTTTATGTAAAAGCAGCACTTCGGGGGGCCGCCACTTTTATAAGTTTTAAAAATGTTAAACTTCTTCAGCAGCCATAATAATGTTTTACTAAACAATAACTATTGACTCCTTAAGTGTGACGTCATGGGTCCAAACAAACCGTTGCTAGGGTCGTCGTTATGGACAAATACATACATGGGGATAGGTTTCGCTACGAAAATCCGACCGTTCAAAAATCAGGAGTAGGATTTAAACTTCTAAAAATCGCAGATATGAATGTCATTTATGTTTTGACAGAAGTGTGCCGGAAATCGCTTGTTTCTGAAATAATTACGACTGCAACTTCCGGTTCTCAAGATGCCTGCAGCAGACGACGAAAGCAAGAAGTATGCCGTCTTCCACACGCCGGCCGGCCAAACCGGCGCGGCTGTCGTTTGAATCGTGTGAATAAAGACAGTATTCTGATATTGAATTTGATTGAAATATAACGAGGTGAGACACTTATAAGAATTCATAGTGGGGTGCGATGCAAAATATGGTTTAGCGAAAGTCCGGGCGTCGATCGAGATGATCGTCTGCTAAAAGATCGCATTGCACCCGTGAGAAGAGCACTTCAGGCGATCGGTTGAGATCCCAAATTTTGTTTGCGGACTCGCGGTATGGAAGGGTGCTTCGTACCTGGTTCTAACCATCGCTGCGATGGTTACTGCGAAATCGCGATAGACATGCCATTCTTTAATAACCTGACAGCCTCAATAATAAAAATAATAAACGACTTACCCCAGTAATGCACTTCAGGTCGTCGTGGTAACTGATCCGCATGACGTTGTTTGATTTTACGGAATTTTCACCCCTCTAAACTAAGCTAAATTCTGCACCAAAAAAAAAAAAAAAAAAAGAGCACATTGCGGAGGCTTCTACGGCCATGGCGATACGCTTGTTTTTGTCACTCGTTTACCGACGCAATTCAATGGCCCGCTGCAACAGAGGCCAGCAAACCTTTCGTGTCGTCTGCTACCAAAGCGGATCGGAGTGTAATACTACGTAAGCCACTGTAGTAATACTTCAGAAATGACTTTCATCGTTGCAATACGACACTGAGACGAGAAGAACATCTTCATAATTAGATATCAAGAAGTTAGGTTGCTTACAAAAATTATTTGCTTACTTGTAAGCAAAAATCTAGCCTCACGTGGAGTCTCCATGCATAAGCCCATAGCAACACCCCTAGCAACGGTTTGTTTGGACCAGGGGGGTAAAGGTGGGTGAGGAGGAGTGGCGAATCCCGTGCGCCGACATCCTGGGTCCCGAGCAGGGGAAACGGCCCATAGAAGCCTACCGCAGCGCCGTGACCGGATTGTGTACTCGTCTGCTTGCGGGTACCCCCGACTTGCGACAGATGGCGCTGCGGCGAGAGGAAAAAAATCGGAATCGGATTTGCGTGGAACTCTATGGGAGACTGCACAAAATAAACCGAGAAAGAACTCACACTGAACAATTCCTCGCGTGCCGTTGAATTGCGAAAGTGACGGTGCCGATACAAGTAGGGGTGTCGCGAACTTTTGTCGAACCAGATTTTTAGGTCGAACTTTTTGGGTTCGACTGTGTCGAACCGGTTCGACGAACCTTCGAACTTTTCACCAGATTCGACCGGTTCGACTTTGTGGACGGTGTGGCCAGACCTTGATACAAGCATGTCTATGTTTGGAGAATGTTTTTTTTTTTTAAGAAAAGGGTTATTTTATTTTATAAACAGTTGCAATTAAAAGAAACTAATTCTAATCACTGAAGAGGTTAATAACTTAATTTTTTTTGTACTGTATTAAGTGAAATAACCAATCGGCGCTGCCCTTAAAGGAGCTGTGCAACGATATTCAATTGGAATGTTTTTCTCTCTACACGAGCTTACTGGCACACCTGGGACTCAAGGACACTCGCACGCAACGCCATTGACCTAAAACTCCTTTGTTGCGGTGTAATTCCAAGGACAAAAGCGATCATTTTCATTCAATCTCTCCTTTGCAAAATTTGATGACGTAACTCGGGGATCGCAGTACACCCAAGTGACGATATTTGAATGCGGTTCATAGATTGGGCCCGAGCATTGCGTGGGCACTCGACTTGGGCTCGTGACAATTGCTAGCTCGAGAAGCATTCGGGCTGTGACCCAGGTCCAATCGCTGCAACGACGACAACAGCCGAGCCATAACAATGTCTGGAACTCAGCGCGTGTCCTGCGCTTTGCCAACCCCAGCGCGTTGCTATGATCAACACTGGCGGCATATAATCGGCTCCAGATCGCGTGGCCGCTTGTTCTGGCTGCGAGTTGAGGGGGTGAACGCTGCTCGTTTTTCTTAATTTTTTTTCTGGGACTTCTATTGCGTGGGGTGAAAAACGAACGCGTGTTTCATAGGTCATTAACGTTAGGGATCCGTTTTAAGCGGTATTTGTGCACAATACAAAAATTGTTGCACAGCTCCTTTAATTTATCCCTTAGCCATTACCATCCAATCCGAAGCCAACTGGTTAGCCTGTCGCGCATGCGCACACGAGTCGAACCTCAGTACAAGGTTCGTCGAATTTTCCACTAAAAGTTCGAAAAAGTCGAACCTAGTCGAACTCGAACCTCGGCCGGTTCGCGACACCCCTAGATACAAGTTCATCTCCGCCATTGATATGGCAATACCTAAACTGCTTTACGAACCACCAGATGGCACTGAATTTCGGAAAGGGTCTATTGACTAATTAGCAAATCGTCTAAAATCTGAAGAAGTAGAAGTCGAAGTAAAACACGAAATACAAAGTTGTTAGTGAGCGCTGTGTGACAGGAGTGTTCTTTGGGTGTGTGACTGCTTGAGTGACAGTTTTTCGAGTGCGCTAAACGTCGACAAACATGAACAACCAACTCGCCCAATCTCAAGTTCTTACAGGTTTTATTTCTATAGACGCTTTGCAGCAGCTGTGCATGGGCGCCGCCATAACTGACCTTCAGTTTTTGTTTCCTCTTATTGAATTTTCTTCACTTCATCATTACCATAGCAGGCCAGGTAATGGCCCTCTTAAATTCTATTGCGTCCTTCTACCCAGCATCGGTCTTTCTGGAGGCTCGTCGACACCCGTTTCAGTGGCTCGGTATCTCCATAAGACAAAAGAAGGTCAGCAATGGCGGCTGTAATCTGGCTCGTGCGCAAAGCGTCTATACCCGTTTTCACCTCAAGAAAAAAGGAAGTTTTGCTCCATGTTCCTACGCCACGCGAAGTAGTTCTCACAAAATTTGGTCGTCGGACGCAGGAGCGGTGCTTTTGGCGTTTGAAACGTGTACGTCTTGATAAGAGAACACATATGTAATCTAAAATACGCCTACATATATCTCAATTCTCAGCATGAAGAGGGAAATCAGTAATGCTCCGCGAGGAGCCGGACTTTTTTTTACTACGGTTCTTGAGGTGAAAACGGGTATAGTACATCGGGCCCCTTCAATCTTTTTCCTGTGCAACCAAGTGTCTTAATTACGTGGATCGCCATTTGCATCTGTCAAGCACGGTCGTACGGGTACTGCATTCGACTACACATGTTACCTCCTGAAGTCAAGAACTTGTTCGGGGGTTTTGCCCCGTCTATAGGCCATGGAAAAAGAATTTGTAAGATTCTCCAGGCAGAATGGCATAGGCAAGCCAGGCAATACAAGAAGTGCCTCCTCACACAAATGAGAGGCAACGGAAATTTCCCCTTTCGTAGACAGCGAGAAATTCCCCTCTTACTGGACCATACTACAGAACACCTCTGGAGACTTACTTTACAGCATCTCCGCATCAACACCCCTAGAAAAGAAAGAGGCTCTGCAACCCAGTGCACACAATAGGTGCAGTCTTTGTACCAGATTTTGTGCAGTACGTCCTCAGACTCGGTCCTAAGTTTGCTGTGGAGCCTAAAAAATCGCCACCGGAGCTACTTTCCATTGTGAGACAACTGTCAAGGCAAGCTCCCGAAGCTGAGATTGATCGTTGCCCTTCTGAATGAGTGGACCTACTCCTTCGACATAAACCACCTGTCAAACCACTACCTGTAACGAGAGTAGAGCGGTACCATGCCTGCTGACAAAGAAGGAGGTTTTGTCCTTATGCGCGAAGATACATTTAGCGAAAAGGCAAAAGCAGCAATTGAATCGGTCTTCAACAGCCATGACGAGATAGCATTAGGCAAGGTAAAACAAGCCGCAAGGCACTTTTGCCAATCGCTTGACCTCAAAAATCTTTACTCCCATATTGACCGCAGCAAAACGTTATCCTTAGAAGTATTTTTTAGTGCAAAAACCCACAAGCCTGACTGCCTCCTAAAGGTCATCATTTCAGAGCGGGGAACGTGGCAGAAATCAGTTGCCTTATTCCTACAAGACAGACTAAATCTTTTAACCGTAGACGACCCCTACCTAATCCGAAGTTCCTTTGAAGTCTTCAACTTCCTAGAAGAACGAAAACACCAAGAGATGCAAGTTTTTTCAATTGACATTAAGGACCTCTACTATGCATTGCCCCAAGACCGTCTCTTAACAAGTATTGAAGACAGCATTGACACCTTTGGTGCTATTGCATTTCAGAATGCCCAGGCATGCCCCAAAATAAGTTTTTTGAATTGCTTACCATCTATTTTAAATCCACCTTTGCTGCCTGGGATGGACACACTAAAGGCCCGTTCACACTTTTGCAACGAGTACGACCGAGAGAGACCAGACCGGTTTTTAAGCCTCTTGCGACCTCTTAGGACCAGCTCCGCTGTAGCGCATCCGGTTCTAAGAGGTCGCAAGAGGCTTAAAAACCGGTCTGGTCTTTCTCGGTCGTACTCAGTTGCAAGAGTGTGAACGGGCCTTTACTTGCAAAAGAGAGGAGTGTGCATAGGTTCGTGCATTGCACCTGTACTCAGCGACCTATATCTTGCACATATCGATAGGATTCTACAACAGAGGTTAG